CGGTTTTCCCGGGCCCGGCTCCCGCACCATCTGTCATCTGGCACCACCTGCTGTTTCTCATGCATGGCCACAACCAGCACGGGACAAAATGGTTTCAAGAAAGTGGGAGGGATTCTGGTCACACACACGTAACATACCATATAACGAGCAATCTTTGGGCCTTTAGGAAAACCGGAGACGCACACTTATTGGGAAATAAATGAATAAATCTGAAGATCCCCCAGAACAATCTATGAAACTCAGAGAGGTGCAGGCCCCGGGCCACTCTCCGCCTGTGGAAAGGGAGAGAGGGGACTGATATTTATTATCTCCGTGCAGTGGGTGGGCAGTTTTCCAGGCTCTTCCCTCGTTGGCACAATGGGACTCCTAACAGTACCTGCTGGTGGGGTTGGTGGGAGGTGTGAATGTGACAATGTGGGAACAGCATTTAGCTCAGAGCGAGCGGGGTCCGAAAGTGAACTGCAGTCCTCACAATGCCACTGTGATCACACAGGTCACCTAAGGCCACAGAGCTGCTGGAGCACCGGGAACTGGGACTTGAACCCTGATCCGTGGCCACATGTTGAAGTGGACAGAAGCATTTCTTGGAAGAAAGGGAGTGTTTTCAAAAGGTGGACAGGAGTGTTAGTCCTCCAGACGACAGACACCTATCCGTACCCCGCAGTAGCACACCGGGCAGTAGAGGGCTTACCAGCTTCACTCTTGACCTGAAAACACCCCCTTAGGGCAGCGTGTGGCTCTTACCGCATGAAACAAAGAAATACTTGTTCTTTTGAGCATCAATGGTAGTTCTAGATGGCTTTCACCATAAATCACTTAGAAAGAGTATTTTCAAATAATGTGTGTGTTTAGCATATAATTTATGTGCATTTTTTCACTTAGAAAATTTTAATTGCTACTTATTGTTCCTATGAGTTTGTAACCATTTTCCTTAATAATTTTGAGTGCAGTGTGGGCGTTAAAGACAGTGTTTGGAGCCACAGTGTCTGGGGTCAGTTCCCACTTCGGCCATTTGCTAGATTTATGACCTTGGGTACTTACTTAACCTCTCTGTGCCCCAATTTCCTCATTGTAAACTGAGGATACTATTGGGTTGTTAGAAGGATTAGATGAGTTAATACGTGTAAAGGGCTTAAGACAATGTCTACAAGTACAAAACAAATACCTCCTCTTCTTCAGTTATTAGATAAGCGTTTTAAAAATCATCTCTTATATTAATCATTTTTGAAGTTACACTTTAAGAAAATTATTTTCACCCTGGCCGGTTTGGCTCAGTGGTTAGAGTGTCGGCCCGAGGACTGCAGGGCCCAGGTTCGGTTCCAGCCAAGGGCACGTACCTCGGTTGCAGGCTCGATCCCGGCCCCAGCCGGGGCCCGTGCGGGAGAAAAGCTATGGAAAAAAACATCCTCAGGTGATGACTGAAAATACATCTCTTTTCTTCTTCCTCCTTTCCTGAAGTTTCTCTCATTTTTCTCTTTTGAATTTCCTGGGACAAATATCTAGTTTATCCATTCACCTTCTTCCTGTTTGATAATTAAAGAAATTAATGCTATTACTTTAATTAACCTCTGACATAGAGCTGAGTTTTCATTATCACTCCTCAGCTATTTTATAACTGAAAATTTGCTCCTCTGGCTCGAGTCATTCAGTAAAATAAGTTTGTTGGTTTTTTTTATTTTAATTTGTAAACTCTTGGTTTTCATTGTTGCTAATTTATATCTTTGGAGACTAGTTTCTAGTTTTATTGTATGTAGTCCAAGAGTGTTTTCTGTGTATTTCCTGCTTTTAGGAGTATATTACATTTTCTTTGAGGTCTAAGATATGAATTATTTATATTTTATAAGTATTAAATCAAGTTTGGTATGTTATTTAAATCTTCTGTTCTGTCACTGATTTTTTTACCTGCTCGATCTGTCAAGAAATTAGAGGGGGCGCTGTTATTTTGTACTACTGTTTGTGGAGTTTCTCCTTGCATTAAAGCTGTTATTTGGCACATAGTTTCACCATGTGGCATCTTCTTGTGAACTTTGCTTTAATGAATATAAAATAATCTTTGTCCATTTAGTGTTTTGTGATTTGAATTCCTAAAATACAGTTGCAAACCCTTCCTTCCATGGTTTCTATTTGTTCTTCCCAGCCTTTTAAAATTGCACTTTATTTCTTGACTGGGTCATTTTAAGTAATCTTTTTATATGGGATTTAACTCCTTATAGTTAAGTCTGACAATGACATGTATTGTCTTACACTTGTCACAATTTTTATGACTTACGATTTTCCTTCATTGTTTTCTACATAAACATTTTTTCTCCAGTTATTTGGAAGGGACATGTAAGTTTTAAAATTATGTCTTTGGTCATTTTTTAATATGCCAGAAACATGTTTGAATTGACTTTCACCTCTGAGCCTCGAGAATAAAATCACCTCCTTTGCTCTCCTCCCGCGGAAATGAGATAATTAGCGCACATTTGTGTGTGCTTTCCCTGCTTCCCATTTTCCCCTCACTCATCAGAGGTTACACCTGAGTCTTTATTTTCACTGATGCATATTTGCTGATTTTACTCCCATTTCCTGAGACACTCTTCTCAGAATTGGAAGTGAGAGAAAAATGAATACAATGTGGGTCTTTTTCCAATGGGCTCAAATGATGCTCCATGTGAAAATAATTATTTGACATGCCTAAGTTTCAACGAATCTGGGATGCTTCTATGATCGGTTTCAGAGCGTCTTGGCATTAAGTGTTTTGTTTTGTTTCCATGTACAGATAGATCTCCAGTGAAGGAGATGATAAAAGCACTTTAAATGTCTCATCACAGATCTTGTTTTCAGTTTAAGAATGTTATTCCAAATTTGATGGTGTGATAGAAATATAAGCCTTTCAGAAATCTGTTCTAAGAATCTCCCAGAGGCAAGCATAAAAGGGTGCTGTGCTCAGGCTCTCACTAGGAGCTCTATATTTAAATTTCATATAACAGCAGCCAGAAAGCTCTGAGAAGCATGAGGTTCTCCTACCTCTTAAAAAGGAAGTGGGTCATTGCCTACTTTTGACTTAAAGGGGAAAAAAAGACAATGGAGAGGCAGAGGCAAAGGCAGAAAGGCAGCTGAAACTCCCCCCATTGGCTAGAGACAGGAGGGGACTCTCCAAATTAGGGAAGCCAGCCCTGTGGGTGCAAACGGACATCAGCTCAATAGCAGGCGGTGACACGGAGAACCCTTCCAATGGCAGCCGGGGCAGGCACTCAGAAAGCAGTGACTTGATGAGGATAGGGGGCTTTTTGAGGAAGTTTTTGTATTTTGCCTCGAACTTCATCTTGCAAAGGCTTTCCAAGGGGCTCTTCTGCTAAGTGACCCCCTCACCTGCGTCTCCTAGTGGAAGGCTGTCCGCAATTGGGCGGGAAGGCTGATTGCAGAACAGGCTCCTCCAAAGCCAAGACCGAGAGCTTTGGATGCAGGACGTTCAGGAGGGCGGGCTCTCAGCATGAGGGAGGGAAGGAAAGGAGCAGACTCGGTCGGACAGACAACCTGGACTGTAATATATTCGTGACAAACCCTTCAGTCAGTCCCACGAGCACCTCTGCGGATAGGGTGGCCCTTTTAGCTGCGCTTAGTTGAGATGCAGTTGGGTGCCCTCCCCCAGCAGGTTAAGACCTTGGGCAAGGTGACTGCCTTCGGCTCAGGCCAATTCCTGGACAGGGCGAATAGCTAAGGCTGTCGCCCAACAGCTAGGGACAAGGACTTTCAGGCCTGAAGGGCGATCCACCTAGGCAGCGCAGCAGCTGTCCCCGGCTCTCTCCATGTCACACTTGGCAATCACACCCTGCGCCTTCAGGTGCCGTTCATATGCCTGTAACTCCTAAATTTTATCTCCAGCAGAGATTTCTTCTGGACTCAGGTCCCAAAATACAGCTGCTCCCTTGACATCTTCATCTGAATGGTTCAGAATCTCAACATGCCCAACAAGGCACTCAGCTCTCCCCCGCCCCGCTCCTCCACGTGGCCCCGTCGGCGGGCTGCAGCTGGGAACGAAGGCCTTCCTGACCTCTGTCTCACTCCCACACCCGGCCACCGGGCCTGACGACTGTCCTCCCAAACCTCTCCCGCATCAGCCCACCTTGTCTACCTCCACGACTCCCCTAGCCCCCCGTGGCTTCCCAGCTCCCACGCCTCCTGACAACCGTGCCTCCTCCCCACCCATCTGCTTTTCACGCCACAGTCCAAGCAGCCTCTGTACAAGGGAATTCTGGTGACGTGCGTTCCTCACCTAGAACTCTTCAGAGGCTTAAAAAAAAAGATAAACACCAAAATCTCAAACTTAGCCTCTAAGGTTCTTTATGATTTGTCCCTGCGTACCCAACAAGCGTCGCCACCTGCCACCCTCCCCCTTCCTGGCCTCACACACACTCCTCCCCAACCCGGAGACTTACCACATGATGTTTCCTCTGCGGTTTCCACTCCTTTAATTAATTTCTTAGGATTCTTCAGAGCGGTTTCAATATGACTTCCTCAGAAAGGTCTCCTGAGACCCCAGACTATTTTCGACTCTTCTTGTACATGCTCCCTTCGCACTCTGTTCTTCTGTGTTGAAATATCCACTATTCCTTAAAATTACGTGATTATTTGTGATTATTCAAGTAAGAACCGGGACTGAGTTCTTCCAACCTAAATATTAATGACCAGGGGGTGGATGTGTAAATTTTGGTTCATTCCATATGATGAAATATTATTCAGTCATTAAAAATGTCATAGAATATTGCATTAACATGGGAAATGTTTATAATGTTAAGTAAAAAGAGGAATCAAATTGTTTAAACATCTCAACTAGGTGAAAATATAAAGATTTAAAGATACTAAAATGTT